TGCCCCAGGCATGGTCTTTTACGAGACATATCCCAGGCATGGGCTTTTACCAGGCATGGTCTTATGATGGTACCAAGCATGGTCTTATACATGATGGTACCAGGCATGGGCTTTTACCAGCAATTTTTTTTATTTAATTGTGATATAGGCTTTTTACTGAAAATTGTATTATTATCAGGGATCTGCTTATTAGCCGTTTGAACATATTACCAGACATTGGCTTAGTACAAAGCATGAGTTCCAGAATCCTTACCACATATAGGCTTATCTTATTACTAGAAATGGTCTTATTTATCAGGCTTAGGCTAAAAATTACCCATCATGATCTTGTTACCAGGCACAGTCTTGTTATACATAATGGTAAACACTTTTGAAACAATTGAACTTGTATCAATTGTAGCAGCTTCTGTCGTATTTCAGTCAACATAAAATCCTTTGTCGAGAGACGCACATCAGTAGATCCTCTTGTTTCCAAATAATATATGTAACATTTAAAAGATATGTATAACATGACCCCACTTTTGATATATCAAACAGCTTTCATTTCTCCTGGAAAACTTCTTTTTTATGACATTGGTTTTAAGTATTTGTCACACAGGTACACAAGTATGTTCCACTCCCAAGAATTTATTTCTTGTGTAAGGTCAGCCATAAATTGGATCAATTTTTAGGTGGGATGATGTATATCGCACCTTGGCATTCCAGGACAGAACACTTAAGCCTAGTTTTAGTACATACTGGTGACGCAGTGTTAGGCATACTTCTTGTCACGGAATCGACTGTCCATTGTTACGTGTTTAAAGTTTAGTCAGATTTATTGAATAATGCCTGTTCTGAATACAGTCAGGCCATTGTAGTTCTCTCCAAGCCGTTAATATTAAATGATTCAACAATGACTGTTCTAGTCCTAACTGTCTTGATAGTAACTGGAAAACGGAAAAGAACTCCTGAAGCCTGGTAGGCCAATATCATGCTTTGCTTTCTTCTACAACTTGTCGGTGACATGTTTTTCGGCTGTAAAGACAGGCTTTCAACAGACATAGCTTACATGTTATACATGTATTTAGAAGTGACGTTTTGATTTTTCTGTTGTTTACTATTTGGAAATTTCTCCAACTGGATATTTTACTTGTCTGTGTTGATATCAATTTGCAGTGTAATGTTACGGTTATAATTCTATTTCACGGCAAGGAAAGTGTCAAAAGTAGGATTTAGCAATCTCTGTGCTACTGTTTATTAAAGCTCTGTTTTGTAGAACTTTCCTAGAGGTTCATTGATGGGAATAAGCAGTTTCAGGTAGGGTCAGTTCTGATTGAGGAGTATGTGCTGTCCAGTTGGGTCAGTTAAGAGTTAGGAATAAGTTCTTACCTGCAGGGTCAGTTCATAGTTAAGAACTTTCCATGAGATTTGTATTATTGGGAATAGTACAGTCAGTGCAGTGATTTACTAAATAAGCAAACTTAGGCCAGTCTAAGTGTTGATTTGAATATAGAAAGAGTGAATTATAGAGAGAAAACACAGAAACAGTATGGCATCTACATTTTCTGCCTATATCATTTTTCATCTTTCAATAATATCAAACCAAATATCGCACAACCATCAAGACATGTGTAATAAAAAAACTGCTAATATTACATGACTGACGTGAAATATAAAAAGTTAATTAAATACCCCCCTTAGCAACATTTTAGAGGTCTAGTTAAGGTATGATGGAAGGAAAGTTCCAGATTTTTCACTGGAGGGTTAAGCTGGTAGGTGAAGTTGACCAGTTCTGTATGTGTGTTCACAAGCCCCTGTGTATACGTTTACTTGTACTGTAATCTCTTTACCTGTTGATTGGGGAGTTATATCAGGTAAGGCATGCCACATTGCCAGTGTGACATACTGCCTTGTTAATTTATTAAAGTTCTCCACAATGAATTGGTAAAGAGATTCGATAAAAATGGTGCTTGATCAAGTCCCTTTAAATGTTCCAGGCCTGTGTACAGTGCATAGGTATGTATGGTACATGATAAAACTGCGGCTTGATCGGTTGAGTTAGTTTTAAAGCTCCAGGGACTGTATTTGGTGTTTAGGATATAGAAGGCATGTTCTGCCTTGTCCGGGCATGTCAAGGTACCAATGCTTTCCCTACTCAGTGCACTGTGCTGTACACTGACATAAGTCAGCCAAGGTTATCTCTATGGAGAATGCCGGGGAATATTAACATCATTTGGATGCAGGGTAAAACATTTCTAATACTATTCATGTAAATCATTCACGAGGAAAGAAAGATACGATATCTAAGATTTTCATATTTGAGATAGTGATGTTGGACTGGTGAATTCATTAGCTGTAATATCATGTCTTCTTGGTGTCACAAACACAGTATAAGATATGCTCTAGATATATATTATGATTACATATTGATTTTGATTATATCACCAGCTGTCACCAAATTGATTAAAAATTATTATTACATCTAATAACTGATTGTCATCAGACATTCAAGTACATGTATTGTTCCTGTATGTGTGTGGGATGCCCCGGTCTTTAACACTGGTTTTTCACATGGTTGATCACTACAGTCCTGTTTAGAAGGCTGACTGTTCAGGCCATTGTGTCATATACACAGTTAGTTGTCTAAATGAATTGGAGGATGCAGTACATATTTTATCTGTTATGCTTTACTATATAACTACTGTAGCTGAACAATTTGAAATAACAGACAACTAATGGCACATCTCCTAGAACTCAATAATTTATAAGTCCATGTATCAAGTTTATGTTACAGTTTAAAAAAAAATCAATATGCAAGTTACCATTGTTTAATTGTTTTGTAATGTATCAAATGAATATTTCATATGACAACAATAATAACAGTAAGTTTGAATAAACATGTGTTCCTTCACACAGGGTAGAGGGGTACCACATGTATGGTAGTCTACAGGGGAGGTGGAAAGTGGTTTATACCATTGGGGTCATATCAGTTACATAGGTGGGTCAATTTACAACACAACGATTGTTCAATTCACACCGCAATTAAGTCATGAAAGGAAACAACATAATTTTCAGTATAATAACTTTTTTAGCTATCGTTTTACTTACAAATGGTGTACTTTTAAATGCTATTACTTTACACCACACAGAACAGAGGAGGTTTGTTTACACTTTTACCTAAACACTTATGTGTGTCATTTCTGTAGTTAATTACTTGACAATCTTTGAAGGTGGCTGATGCCAAATTGAGGAATGTTTAAATATGTTTGGCTTATTGTCTGTATTTACACACCACCATTAATTCAGTATTTAAGGGCATGTGAACAAAGTCACAATTCCAGCAGTAGGTCTCAACTGCTGATCACAATACCATACATACCGGGTTTCGAGAGATGCAGGTGGATGAAGATTTTGGGGAAGTTGTATCATCACAATCGTGATCTTGTTTGACTTTGTTATAAGATTTGACAAGTTTGATGTTAAACTTGATAGATTCAATGTTGCTACCCCAGTTCTGATTTTGAGAACATGACATTATTGGGGTTGGACCAGTTACCTTGCTTAGATTTACATAAAAGAAGCTGTGGATGAAACACAATACTTTAACAGATACACTCATCAAGCACAGTCTGTGTTGTTCCTTGTTAGAATTATGATTTAGAAGGCTCATGGGTATCTCATTATTGTCTGTATTGTGTTTTTGTAGACATGTGAGTTTTCTGTTACTGTTTTTGATGACACATAGCTACATAGGTATACCGTAATGGTTGTTGTCACACATGTACATGTGTATTCTGTGACTCTTCATGGACACTAGGGTTCTGTTAGCTGTTTTTACTGACATGTTGGTGTGTTCAATGCCTCTCTGAAACATGTATGTACATTTTAAACATTTCATTTGTTGCCAAGTATTAGTTTGAAATGAATATATATGGTATCAGGAGAGATTTAAACTGCCAAATTTATTCCAGAAGTAAAATTGTTAAAATTTTGAGCATGTGAAAGTGAAATTCTAAACAGTTATTTTCACCATCAGTGTAGACTGTATAATGATGGCAGTGGTTTATTGCCTTTTGAGTACAGGATTGTAAAAATATCTGTTGTAGGTATAATTGCTATATCAAATCGTCCCGAGAATTCTAGTCATAAACACATCACTTTGGAAAGTTTGCAGGTGACACCCCATTACAGAATTAACTTTCATGCCCACCATCCTCTTCATATTCAAGTGTTAGCAAATTAAATTCTAAACTTGCTTTTAGTACACTCTTTAGATGTATTTAAGTCAACATATAGTGTATACACATGTTTCCTGTTTTCAATGACTTAGTTAATTGGAGTTGAAGTAAATAAACTGGCACATCTCGTCCTAACTCTGTTTCAGACACCTTAGTTAGGCTACTAGTTCATACAAGATTCTACAGTGTAGTTGGATGATAGGAGAACTGATGAAAATATTACAAGATGTGATTTTAAACATATTTTACTGACTTCAATATCCTAGAAAGATAAGACGCAAATTGTATTTTGTTTTAATTTATGATATCCAGTACATTTCAAAGACATACATTTTCTGTAATGAAGTACTAACCATGACCTCCTGACATTTGTGTTTCTGTCTACTTAATGACCTTGACCTCCTTACAATTTGTGTTTTTGTGTCCTAAATACTGACCTTGACCTCTTGACATCAATGCTTTTCCATCCTGTTGACCTTGGCTTCCTGACATCTTTGTTTCTTTGTGCTAGAGAAGATACTATAACATGACCTCTAGATATGTGTCATTTACATAGTGTGAAACTGACCTTGACCTCCAGATATCTATGATTACTATAGAGCGATACTGACCTTGACTTTCAGACATCTGTTTTTCTGTGTCCTAAAGTATAGACACTCTAACCTTGACCTAATATATGTGACTGTTAAGGTTGTCTTATGACTGACACATTTTTCATGGTATAATTAATCTAAAGTTGTGTGCTATTGTGAAATTATTTTGTATTTGTTTTGTGCTTTGTAGGTTGAAGGTCGTGATGACGAGATAGAACGCCTTACCAAAATGTTAGACGGAGGAAGACCCTCAGACGTGGTGGCCCTGGAGGCCAGAAACCGCGCCAATGAGAGGATGATATCGCACCTCAACATCCAGGTAATAACAGAAAATTCTTAAGGCTTTTACATATAGATAATATAAAGTAGAGCATTACATCTATAAACAAATAAAAACTGAACACTCCATGTATTCTGTTGCCGAACAATCTGTCTGGTAATCTGACACTTAGCTTACAAGTAATTCCTCATCACTCATCATAAGGTCTGGGGTAATGTGACACTTTACTTACAGGTTATCTCTCACTACTCCATATAAACTCTCAGGTAATCTGACACTAAACTTACAGATAATCTCTCATTACTATAAACTCTCACACTTAACTTACAAGTAATTCCTCATCACTCTTCATAAGGTCTGGGGTAATGTGACACTTTACATACAGGTTATCTCTCACTACTCCATATAAACTCTCAGGTAATCTGACACTAAACTTACAGATAATCTCTCATTACTCCATATAAACTCTCAGGTAATCTGACACTTTACATACAGGTAATCTCTCACTACTCCATATAAACTCTCAGGTAATCTGACACTTTACATACAGGTAATCTCTCACTACTCCATATAAACTCTCAGGTAATCTGACACATTACATACAGGTAATCTCTCATTACTCCATATAAACTCTCAGGTAATCTGACACTTTACATACAGGTAATCTCTCACTACTCCATATAAACTCTCAGGTAATCTGACACTTTACATACAGGTAATCTCTCACTACTCCATATAAACTCTCAGGTAATGTGACACTTACAGGTAATCTATCATTACACCATGTAAACTCAGGTAGTCAGTCACCAAACTCCAGTTACAGGTGGTCTTTCCCCAATGTGTACAATAAGACAGATACCAATTAGCTATATATCTTACAGCTTTTCACAATACTTGAAATTATTTTACATAATTTTTTTTGTCAGATTGACTTCCTTCAGCAGAAGACTAGAGAATTTGAGAGGAAGTTGCATGACTCCAACAGCGAGCGTGATGACTGCGAGTCTCAACTTTCTAAACTCCAACTCAAGAATCGGGAGTTGGAATCTCGTAACAGAGAGCTGGAGTATGACCTGAAGGACGTTGACTTGATGGCTAAACGTCTCCAAGTAGACAAAGAGGATGTTGTCAAAACAGCCGACCGTGAAATGGGCGAGGCAAAGGTAAGAAAACAGAGAAATAGTAATATATGACTTTATTGTGGCTTTAAATACTATTATACATAAAATAAAGTATCAAAAGACTATAAGTATGATTCAGATATCTTGAGAGGATTGCAGTTAGCATTATCAATCAAGAAGTCTTACTTAGTACTTCTGCTGTGGAGAGTAAATTGACACAAGGCAGAAATGATTTTACCACAGAATAAAGAAAATTGACCAGAAAAAAATATTTCTAAGCAAATTAATAATCTTTGTCATTTAAAGTGAATATGAACTTTTAAAAGACATACTTTATTTTAACCTTACGATTGTAACATCTGGTTGTGTTGAGAAAATTAATTGAATTCACATATTTTTTTTCGCAGGACGAACTAGAAAAGTCAAGACATGAATTAGAGGACCTGGACTTAAACTTAGCTCAATTTAAGGCTGTAAGTGATTCAAATCATTGTAGAAATGTTTCAGATTTTTCTTTTAATTGACGTTGTTTCTGAAGCTTTCAATCCATTTTATTCCTATGGTGTTTAATTATATGGGATATTTAAGAACGAGTAGCAGAAATCTGGGTACTAGCTCCTTGTTTGACAGAATGTGAATTATAGTAGACACTACCGATGAAATGTGATAATATTCTCTGTTCCCGTCAAGAATATTATCAAATCTAAGTCACTATATAATCTACACAGTTACTGACAGCCGCTGAAATTTATTTAAGAAAAAGAAATAACGACAAGTAAATTTTTGATTTACAGGAGAACCAGCGACTTGTCAAGGACTTGAATGAATCACAAGCACAACTTTCCATTAAAAAAGGTGACTTGTTGCGCCTGGAAGAATTGCTCGATCGTGTCTCTGAAGACAAGAAGAGGCTGAGCCATCGTGTTAACAAACTTATGTCAAATGGTAAGAAAACTTTTACACCAAGGATTCAGTGTAAGTAGTTCTCAGTAAGAGGATGGATCAGATGGGAAATGTTTGTGTTTATTGTGTCTGATGTAAAAAAAATAAATTGCACATAAAATGTTGACAATGATAAGGGAGATGAAATCCAAAACAAATCAAGAGATGGAGGGTAAAGATGAGAGAGGCTCTGATCTGTTGAAACACATCATTAACTTAACAGTAGAGGGTGAAGATGAGGAAGGCTCTGATCTCTTGAAACACAACCTTAACGTAACAATAGAGGATGAAGAGAAGGAAGGCTCTGAGTCTGTTCAAAATTTAATACACAATGATAGATATGAAAGACGATAAATAAAGCACTGAATTTGTTAAAGCAAGTTCAGTAATGTTTAAAATTTCTTAGCCAAGGTATTTCTGATGTGTAATTGTGAACAAGCAAGCAATCAGTGTTCTTTCTATTAACCTACAGAGAAAGAATTAGTTCTTGAAATTGAGAAACTCAAGAGAAAGAATGGTCCTGGTGTTGGAGGCAAGAAGACTAAGACACCAAGCAAACTGGATGCATTTATCCGCAGCCTGGAGGAAGAAAGGAACTACTATCGTGATCAGTCAGATGCCCTCCAAAAAATGTTACGTGGTGAAATTCCTTCACGAGCACGTAGTCCATCCCATTCTCGTTCTTCTTCACGTGCTGCCAGTCCTGTCAGAGAGGTTACCTCATCCAAGTCCGACAAAAAGGTAACGTCAATATCAGCAGGGTAGAGGTGTTAAAGCTTTCAGAAAGGTTGAACTGTTTAGGAAAAGTTGTGTTATTATTTGAAAAAAGAAAAAGAAAAGAGTTACTGTAGCCTAGTTTTGGTTGTTGTAGACGGTAGCTCAGTATGAGACGATTTTGCGGGTTCTTGAGGAGGAAAAGGACTATTACAAGAAAGAATATGAGGTACTGAAGGCACTCAAAAAGTCCTCTTCCTCAGCCAGAGCCACACCCACAAAGGTAAGAGACCCCCACCTCCTACACTCTTGTCTGTAGCCATGAGATATCCTTCCAAGGTCTACTACTTCATCATGCCGAGTTAGGACTGTCTTGTTAGGTTTCTAATAGTGTCTTAAGTAGTCAGAGATATTCTTTGTAGCTTACTGTGCAAAACAATCACCTGCAATCTCTGATATTATTATCGATGTAAAGAAGATGTAAAATTGCTATAATGCTGCTGCATGTGCTTGTGCCTTCCCAAGAAGTAACAGAATAATTGTTTGGTCCCCATTTTCTCTTTCTGTACAGTGTCATTGTTAATGTTTTTGCAGTAACAGCTGACTCAGTGCCCTTGTTATTCATCGTGTAAATCAACTGATAATATCAACTTATATTTTGTGTACACTAACTAGTGACATAATATTCATGGTTAACCTACTGTGAAAACTGAAAAATTCTATTTCTTGGAACTTCCTGTGTAAAATGACCAATGATCTTCCATGTTACTTGATTTTTAATACAGGGAGTGTCAGATGACCCTGAGGTTTCCAAGTTGGTGAGGGAGCGAGATGAGATGAGGGCGTTGTTAGATAAATTTGAACGCCACATGGCAGAGGTTGGTGTCAAAAAAAAAAAAAAAAAAAATTAAAATGAAAGAAACGAAAATTTATCAAAGAAAGTTGAGTATAATTTATGAGTGGTATTGCTTGAATATAGTGACCGAAATTATTTCTAACGCCCATAACATGATGATTCATGTTCTTACATTTTGAATACATTGCTATTAATATCACATCAGTTTGTTGCAACATTCGTAAATTCCTGAAAGGGTTTTAGACATTGATCATGTTACCCAGTACAGGGTGATAAAACACAAAAAGTCGAAGAATTTTGTTTGGTGTTATTCTGGTTACTTGATGTACTGTCTTGTTGATCTGTCCATGACTGTATTGTCACATTTGTTTTGTAGATCCAGGCCAATGTGAAGGTACTGACTGCTGAACGAGACAAGCTCAACACTATGTATGAAGAGGTTAGTGTCATTGTGTCTTGATACCAAAAATTGTTTAGAAAATATTGAAATTGTTGGCAAATTGTGAAATGATGAAGAAACTAACCAAAAATAGATATTACTAATAATTCTAATAGTTCTAACAGTCCTTTCTTACTTTGTTTACAGTCTAAAGATGAGCTTCATAGGGTGAGGAGGGAAATGGTGCGTTCACCAAAATCTCCAAAAACATCTCTAGCAGCACAGGCAGTGCTACGTCGTGTGGAATGTGAGCGTGACGATGCTCTCTCTGACCTCCGACGCATGACAACAGAAAGAGACAGTCTGAGAGAGAGGTTAAAGGTGAGGATTAGAGACCAATAGGTTATTTGTATAATTTGTGACCGGTATACATACACTTGACCTCACGCGGTAAAAACATACGTTTTTCAGTATTGGAAATTCAAGGATATTGTCAGACCTTGCTTTGTTAATCTGGACACTCAGAGTCTGGAAGAATTTCCCTCTCCACAAGGGACAAGTCCAGACTACTTGATAAATTGATAATTAATAAGCAAATCGGCCCTAGCTTCTAACACATGGACTTTGGGTCTGAAGATAATTTTTAGAACTTTAGATTGTTGAATGCAACATTCATTTCTTTTGGAAATACAATCAAGATTGACTATCAGACGGACTGGATATCTGAATTCAACAAATTTAGGAGAGATTTCTGAACTAGATTTAACTGTAGATATTACCTTACCAATTTTACTGGAATTTGTGTTAACTTCCCTTCAAATGTGTCATATATTTTTTAATAAATCAAATGATATGTACACAGATTCAACTGGGGCAAACCCATGAAAACCAAATAGAAAAGCATAATGCAAAAATAGAAATGTATTTTTTGGATTATTGTCAGTCTGTCAAATTAATCACTTTCATCAGTACTAGATATGGTGATTCTGTTGTAGATTGCCACTGAGACATCCCTGTCTGATAGGGCCAAGCTGGAACAAAGGATTGAGGATCTGGAGTCCACCATCTCCACAGTGAGTATGCTCTGCTTGATAGGGAAAGAAAACACTTGCAGTGTCTATTTGAGTGTAAAACAAATTATTTCCTTAGTGAAGAAGTATAACACCTATTAAAAGAGGTTTTTGTCGATACTGCTGGTTAAAACATGTGTTGGTAAATGTTGAACTGTGAAAAATAGTTATATAAGGGCAGTGGATGAACATTTGACTGTGAGTAGAAATATTGTAGTTAAGTAACTTCACTCAGAAAGTGTAGATTTCATGAACCTGCCAGCAAGGGGATCCTGTTGACATTTGTTTTGAAAACAGGACTTTAAGATTTGATGTTTTTATTTGTGGGTTGTTAGAAAAAGCATGAACTGGCAAATTTTATGTTTGGTTTTCCATATATATGTACTATACAATATTTGATTAAAAAAATGATTGCCTGGATGCATGTACATGTATACGGCTGAAGGAGGGTGGGTCATAATATCATTTCTTGTAAGTTGGTGTTTTACTTAAGAATCTTTGCGTATGTGGAGATGCATATACTGGGCAGGTCTAAATGAAAGAGAAATTTATACATAGCATTAGTACTGACAATACTTCTGACCAGAGGTTTGGTTCTGATTAGGTGGATGTTGAGAAGAGAGAGTTTGTGCTCCGAATTTCCACCCTGAAGGAGGACCTTAGAAGCTACGAGGAACAGGTGCGAGATCAGGCCATTCGACTAACCCAGGTTCAGGATGAGGCTTCTCAGGCACGTTCGACTGCAGCACAGATGAAGTAAGTCCTGCCATTGTAAACCTGATAAAACACTTGTAGAAGAAGAATGTACCGCATTTACTACATATACTATAAAGACATTCTTCAAAATTGATGCTCTGTTAATAGTAGCAATATATGCATTGTGCTTTTCAGAAAATTCATATCTATTCTGGGAAAAAGTAAATATGTTCTTATCTAATTCTGGGTGATAGTGCTTGTCAGAATATTCTTATGTATTGTGGGAAGATACTTCTTGTCACAACACAATGTTCTTATTTATTCTGGACAACTAGTACTTGTAGAATGTTCTTTATATACTGCAGAAATACTACTTGTCAAGATGTTTTTTTTTCAATTTATGATATTGTCTGAATATCCTTATCTATTCAAGATGGATAGTACTTGTTTGAATATTACCTAAATTCTGCAAAGATTCTACATCTCAGAGTATTTTGTTGAGTTCTGAAGAGTTAAGAAACAAGGGTTGAAAAAGGGATATTTTGATAACTCAAAACACTTAATATTGCTTTGTATATTCTTCAGTTCACACAATTCTTCAATTCATATCTCGAATGTTTCACTTCAGGATGTTGGCAGAGGAGACTGAAAAATCACTGGAGGAGACACAAAAACGCCTCAACAACAATGAAAAGAACCTCCACACACAGGAGCAGCATAATGCTGAAATGGATAATCGTAATGCAGATTTGTCGCGGACCAACCAGCTGTCACGTGAGGAGATAGCCCAACTCAGAACCACCATCAGTGCACTGGACCGTGAAAAGGACTCACTGCAGCTTGCCGTTGATGACAAGACAGAACGAATGGCCAGATTGACTGATGACCTCTTACACAAGGTACAATTCACAGTTTTACCACAGTGTGTAATAGTAGCCCTGTATTATGTGGTCTGAAACCTTCCTCTATCACTGTCTGACAGTGTGTAACAGTAATCCTATATTATGTGGTCTGAAACCTTCCTGTATCACTGTCTGACAGTGTGTAACAGTAATCCTGTATTATGTGGTCTGAAACCTTCCTGTATCACTGTCTGACAGTGTGTAACAGTAATCCTGTATTATGTGGTCTGAAACCTTCCTGTATCACTGTCTGACAGTGTGTAACAGTAATCCTGTATTATGTGGTCTGAAACCTTCCTGTATCACTGTCTGACAGTGTGTAACAGTAATCCTATACTACGTAGTCTGAAATCTTCCCGTATAAGTATCAGCATTGGTATAATATATGCTATGATTTCCTCTACAGGAAAAGGTGGTTGGTGATCTGAAGATTCGAGTTAGTGAGCTGGAGGCTCAGAGAGAGTAAGTATCAGAAAATGCTATATACATTTAATACAGTGTTACAACTCGATACATAACAAGTTTATTATTACCCCTGATGGAATATTGGGAAGGAAATATTTCAATGCCACTGTTTGTCATTCTATCATGCTTGAAGGGAGTGTTTGCTTGGGATTCCTTTTGGGTGTCAAAGGGTCATATGTCAAGGTCACTCTAACTATTGATAAAAATAAATATTGGTCAGGATTACTATTTATAGACAATAATGCAAGTTCAAGTGAGTCAATCAAACTCAAACTTTACTCACTGCTTTTCTATTAGATATGCTTGCATATGATTGATTTTAGGGTTAACTCTTGTGATTACTGCTATTATTTTGTATTTGCTCAAGCACATGAATTCTCTAGGGCCGTTCAAACTCAAACTTCACATACTAGTTTCTTAAATGACTGTGCTTCCTAGTTTTGGATTGCTTTTCCAGTACAGTCATTAAAATTCAAGGTCATTGTAATTATGAATAGAAAAATCATTTTAGCACAGTAACTCAAATTTATCTGGGCTGAATTTCAAAACAGTCTGCAGACAATCAAATGAACAGGTAAAGAAGTAAGTCTCAGTGATACCTTATTTATTGCTGAAACATTAAGGAAAGGTATTAACTTCCGTGGCAAATTAAGACCCTCTTTACTTTCTTTCAATGATGGTTTTATTGAAGTTTCGTGTTTAGATCATGATAACGTTAAAGCCATTGCTATGTACATGTGAACTTGGCTCTCCAGACATTCCAACGAGACCCACAATATGAAGGACCGAGAGTTGAAGAGCATGCGTCGACAGTTAGACTCTACAGGCGAGGATTTGAGCGAGACAAGTCGCAGCAAGGACATTGCACTTAGGGAAAATAGGCGCCTTCAGGATGATCTTGCTATAATGACAAGAGAAAACCAGGTCAGTCCAGGTTAACCCATCATACATAGAACTTTTTCAGTGTTTGAATTGATTTGAAGTGTTAGTTGAACAAATTTTATTGAGTTGAATTACCAAATTTGTATCTTTTTTATTACAGAAATTAAACCAGGAATTACAGGACGCCCTAGATGAGAAGGAAACACTGAAGGGCCAAGCTCAAGATTATATGCTGGAGGTGAAGCGCACAGAGGAACACCTGTCCAAAAAGGTTTGTCTCTTCCTACGAGAATCTGAATAACATTGTAGAGGATGTATTGTCATTACATAGTAAAAATCTTGATACATTGTTTGTGACAGGAATTATTCTTTGTCAAAAAATGTCTCTGAATAAAGTAAAGACAGTGAATAAAACCATTACTGGTAAATTACCTATTGGAGAAGACCTTTAATATTATCATAATGCAAATGGCAAATTTTTTACCAATCTGTGTCTTTTCTGAGGGGTGTTATTTGATGTATGATCAGTGTCTGTATTATTTGTCTTGTAGGAACAAGAGCGGTCCGACCTGCTTGACCAGTACAGGGCCCTCTCTGTTGAGGCAGAGCAGTACCAGACATCAACTCACCAACTGGAGAGTGAGGGCTCTAACCTTCGCCTGGAGATCATGACGAAGGACTCTGAGCTTCGACGCGTCAGGGACAGGCTAGATAATTTAGAACGTGAAGTTCAGGAGGTACATATTCTGGGGAACTGAAGGAATATCTAATCAAATGGGGACATCCTATTAATGAATATACTTGTGAAGAAAGTCTAATGAATTTCATTGCATAAATGTTATATGATCTAGCAAAACTGTGCAGAGAATTTCTTCTATCCACAGAACAGATATCTTCTCTTTGTGAATTTGAAATCCACTGATATTAAGATACAGTGGTAAAGATAAGTGAGTTTACTAATGATATGTACATAAATACTGTTGTTGTATGTTTCCAGCATTTGAATGCCCAGCAGGCTTATGAGCTTCAAATTTCCAGTCTAACAAGGTCAGTAGCAAACCTGGAGGAAAATCTTCGTCAGGCAGAAGAAGACAAACAGAACTTACTGGTGGATCTGGCAGCCGTAAGGGAACTGTGTGCCAAACTGGAGTCAACCAAAGATTCACTTCAACGTCAACTCACGTCGGCCAGTCTGGATAAAGAGCAGGTAAAGATAATACATGCCAACATCATGTAGTGAACCTTAGATTTTCCTTCTGAATACACATTTGTTTCACTTGTTGATTTTAAATTGTCCCGTGGACCTCTGTAAATGTCTTTCTTACTGGTCTCCAACTTTATCATTGTGGTTGACCTCAGATTGTCCTGCAAGTCTGACACTTTCTGAAATTAGATTGTCCCTTGACTCTCTCCCCCTGTCAGTGTCATGCTTGTTGATCTTAGATTGTCACACTGCCCTCTCTCTGTCTTTGTCACACTTGTTGTCCTTGGATTATCCCACTGCCCTTTCTTTGTAATTGATGCACTTTTTATCCTTGAATAGTCCCACTGCCCTCTCTTTGTAATTGATGCACTTGTTCGATTAATAAATAGTACAACAGCGTTTTTTGGTATAAACTGAAAGGAGGAGCAGTTTATAATCCTACAGTCTTCTGACAAAGTTTTTCTGCTTATAGCTGCAGACGATAATGGAGGATATGCGTCAGGAGACGGAGCTGCTGAAGAGCCAGATGACATCGGAGCGGACGTCGGTGAAGAGTTTAGAGGGAATACTTCAGTCTAACCGAGAGAAAGAGTTCCAGTCACAACTGTCAGCTCAGGAGAAATGTGCCGAGATACAGATGCTAAAGGATCGACTCTCTCTCAATGAGAGCAAGATGTAAGCACTCAGGGAAGATCAAGTAGCCTTGTTTTAAAAGCCATTTACCATATTCATCCCATAAAATGATTAAAAATTAATTGGTCATCAAGATTGAAAGTGGAAAGAAAATATTCTTTTTTAATTACATTACCGCCAATTGTACAAGATTTCATTTCTTTTTGCTGGAATTAATCAATAATATTACAGTGTTTTACTTAATTAACAGAACAATTGTGTGATTGAGTTGAATTGAAACTGATGTAACTCTACACTCAGGCAAAGTTGTTTACTTTTTTCCTAGTATGTTTTAGTATACCTGTGTTTCATTTTTACTTCAGCCAAAGTTCAGGTCGTGAAATTGCCAGTCTACGAACCAGAAATGTTGAGCTAGAAGGAGATGTGGAGCGCCTTCGGAGGTCACTTACAAGTGAAAAGTTTGAGCGGTAGGTGCAAGTCCAACTGTATGGACAATATGAAGGGGACTCTATATGTTGTATCCTTACTTACCCTAATACTGAGGGATTCTATATGTTTTTTCTAATATCTGGCAATAACCCCACTTACACTTATTTCATTACTCTAAAAATAGTAAGATGCTGTATTTGGTGTCAGAAAATATGCTCAATCTCTCTCTACAAGTCAGAATTATGCCTCGGCACCATGGGCTTATTGCAGGATAAATACAGGTCTTACTTTAACACTGTGTGTCCCATTCCTATATATCCCTAACATTAATTACTCTCTGATACTGAAGGATGCTTTTGGTGTGTCTGACAATACACTTTAATCAGATTTCATCACATGTCACTGGTCCTACCAGAGGGAACATTTGTATTGCAATGTATTCATAAATACTAGGATCAGCTACAATTACCACATTTAGCATGTCAAAATTTCTGGATAGCCGAATGTCACATTCTAAATTCAGATCTTGATTTTCTGTATATACAGAGTTATTGCCCATTGTTCAAGGTAAATTACTTCCTCTTTGGCTACTTTCCCATGCTCAGCCACCTACAATTGCCATGGTTTATTTTAAGACTTTTTCATATGGTTAGTGTTGAGGCTCATGCCTTGCTATTTATAGAATTATCACCAAACGTCTAATATAACTTGAAATTGGTGACTTTGCAATGTTCTTATGCAATGAAAATTAATTTCCTTTAACTGACGATGAAAGTAATAAAATTGTTCAAAGACTTTAGTTGTTCTCAAAAGTTGAGAAATCATATTGATTTAGATTGAAGACTTTTTAGTAGCAATTTAGTGCATTGACATTTTATAAATTTGTAAAGAAATGTACTAAATACTAAACTTCACTAAACTAATGCATCTAATTATTGGCCATCTTAATTTTCAGGGAGAGAGCCATTCAGGAACTGAGGAGACATGGCCTGACACCCCCAATACCTACAATGGAATACTCTTCATCTTATTCTTATACAAAAACCACAACCCATAATAGTCTGACAACTTCAAGGTCAAGGTCAAGGTCAAGATCTCCTAGCCCTAGAAGGTCATTATCCCATAGAATATGCTATTGATATGGATGAAACTGATATAGCAACTACTGATATTAACAGCTTATTTACAATCATAGCCAAACTAATCTATGAAGATGTTCTGAAATACGGTGTAATTGAAATTTATTTTGGATTTTTTTTCTCCGATCATGATTTTGTATTATCACATATTTGAATTAAAATAGAAATTAAATGTCATTTATTTATGTTAAAAAGTACTTTTACAATGGGAAAGAAATGATTTAAGTTAACAGGTAGGAGTCCAGACACTCTCAATCTCTGATTACGTTTCTCTCTCTGACAGGAGCCTGAGTCCAGACATGTACCGCAGTTCTTCAGGAAGGCGTAACCTCACACCAGAGCGTCCCAGCTATCTAGAAGATCCACTGGATACTTCAGTTAAAAGTATTGGTCAGGACTATTCCTGATCCTAAGAAGACACGTAGTTCCTCAAGGATGCTGTGATGTCTTCAACACTTAGAAATATCAATACCTTCGAAGAGAAAATTAGCTGTATTATTAATCATAATAGACACAAATATTGTAAAATGCAAAGTAATTTCAAAAGATTTTCTCGCTCACTTTATAAGATATTTTGTATAAGAAAATGAATGGCGAGGTTGTAGTGTAGTTGTACGTCAATCTTTTATTGAAAGGCAAGTTTGGGTACGGTAATTGGGCATTGTTGGTTAGTTGTCGTTACACCCAGGGAGAAAGAAATTCATTTTGTGCAAACTTCAACCCAGTTAAATGAGTAATGTTGTGGTATGTTCTGTAGTGGGATTGGTTTTATCTAAAGATGATTCAATATGTAGGTCTATTTCATATTAAATCCCTATCTTTACATCTCAAAATTTGTATAACATACTCATAAAAGTGCAGCAAAAACTATAGCAAAGCGATATATATATATACATTCCAGTCAGTGCAACATGGATTTTGATTTGCCTTCTAGAGTAGACATTATCAATTGTCATTCATTGTAATTAACTTATGAAAATTAAATATTACAACTGATACTATGCTAATTGTTAGCAATCTCATGCATATTCAAAATCCACTGCCGAAAGATCAACACAACCAAATGAGATCCATTTTCCATATCTGTGATATTGAGACCTGATCTTAGTCATACAAGTGCTTGTAAATGGCATGCTAGCCATGGAATGATGAAAATCTGGAGTATATAAATGTTTTGTGTGAAGTTGTATGTAAGACTCCTGGTGGAGGGGAACAATTATAGTAAATGTTACATGTTGGTTTCTGTACCTCAACAATATCCTGATACGATGGTGTTAGGTCATGTTTAATAGCGTCACATTCGGAGTTCATAAGTTGTGTGTAGCAAAAGTCTACCGAAGATGTGGCTGTCTCCGAAACACAACACACAATGATCTATACATTGGACTGCATCATTGGGGTGCGTGTGTTAGGGGAGAACACGGCATGTGAGTTTAACTGAAATGAGAGTATCATTCATAAAATCTTGCAGTGGACTTGCCCTTTTGTCAACATAAGCTCAACCAAAGTATATGAAGGAGTTTGAAGAGCTGGTGATTTAGTTTGTCAATATTATTGATCTGACCAGGTGATACACTCATCAGAACTGTGAGTTATCTCCCCATGTTTACGGTATCTTCCAGCCACCAGCATTATATATAATATAAGCAACTGTGATAGATCTGGGTGTAAGTAACTTGTTGGGTTTTTTTTCCTTTAAATTTGTTTGATTACTAAAATGAAATCTAGGTATAAACATTTTGCATCATTCCTGTTCAGGTCACATGCTACCTTAAACACTCTACCTGAGACGGGCTTTACTTGTCTCACGATTGAATATTTTTATTTAGCATGATGTAATAAATCAGCATTATGTAATTAGCCCAGAATTGCTGGAGTGTTGTAAATTGACTTAATACAGACTAATTAAATATTGCATATTTAGAAAGAATTTGAATAAGGGAGCATGTCTCCAACAGATCGCAACAATATTTTCGGTTGAATTATGTTTTTTCAGCAACTTGAATTACCTCATTATTAAATACAAATATAATTTAATACTGTTTTTGTTTGATGTACTCAAAACTCCTTGCTTTGGTTTGCAGTTTGTTTACATGTAATATTGCACTTTTTTTTCTTTTTTTTTTTTTTTTGAAAATTTGATTTTGATATGTTAAGAATACTGAGAATCATAATTAAGAAATAGCTAAACATATTTTGACATGTGAGTTGGTTAAAAAGATCTTCACAAAATGTTGTCAAGTTGTCAAAATCTTTCCAGTTGCTTTTAAATGTAATCTTATTTTTATTTTTTTTCATTGTGTTGGCATTCTGCATGAGCCTTGAGGCTAATGGGGCCTTAGATATTGTTGTATTGGCAGGAATATATGACAGGACATTCGGTTCTACTTAAGAATGTGTCTTCTTTATTGGATTTTGTCCTTTAAATAGTCCTTAGATTTATAATTTTAAAAATCCGTCCATTTCATATAATTTATTATTATCTGTACATTTCTGTTTGTTATGTACACAATATTTATCTTGAATATATTTTTTTTTAATATTAAAATCTTTTTGATCTGTAACCATACAATGTAAGTTTCACTTGATTTTCTCTGATCTGAATTATGCACACTTTGATAATTGTATGTTAAAATGATTTATTGTGGTGTGTGATAACTGTAGAATGACCTCAATATTCCAATGTGTACCACTGGGAATAGCAGGCAAGATTTGATTTCTCAATCTAGTAGTAGTTACACTGGAATATATTTTTTAATCATGGCATTCACTAAATGATCGATACACAAAATAAATAATCATATATTTTAGATAACAGATGTGTATCAAACACATAAACACTACGAAGAGGATTTAAAAAAAAACATTTGGTAAATTTTTTTTTGTCTTGTTTTCTTCGAAATTTTCAAAAAGTAAACCATTTCCAAGTATAGCGGAATGCCGTGGAGTGTGTCACGGCTCATCAATATCAAACAGCAATAGGTGATTAATGATTTATTAAATTTAATACTGGAAAATGTCCATAATAAGTTCAAACCATGTTGGTTATTAAGATAATATTGTTGCATTGTTACAAACCTGTATTGATGGACTTGTACATGTTTAGTTTACATCATTGAGAGCATCGCTACAAACCCCTATAAATGGTACGGAGGATTTATTAAACTATTTCTACAGATACATACTGTTTTATGTATAACTTAGGTCTGAGCCATAGTCAATAAATTGTGCATAGCCAGAAAATTTGTGTTGTATTGTTTGTTGCAACCAGCTCTAGTAGAACAAGAATATACTGATGGCAAACCTGGATTCAGGAGTTGCTCCTCATCTTTTTTATTTGTTTTGGGGTTAATAGCTCTTTAGAACATTCAATAAACTGAAAGACAACACCCTTTGCAGTGGAAGTCCAGTTCTCATGTCAATGGAAGTCCAATCTTCATGTCAATGGAAGTCCAGTTCTCATGCCAATGGAAGTCCAATTCTCATGTCAATGGAAGTTCAATATTCATGCCCTCGTAGTCCAATTTTCATGTCGAGTGAAGTCCAATTTTCATGTCCCTGGAAGTCCAGTTTTCATGTCAAGTGAAGTCCAATTTTTATGCCAATGGAAATCCAATTTTCATGCCAATGGAAGTCCAGTTCTCATGCCAATGGAAGTCCAGTTCTAGTTTTCGTGTCAATGTGTGAATCGCCAGAGCCACATGTCAAAACATGGAACTTCTGTGAGTGTGTTTGTTGTGATAGAAAAGGCTTGTGTAATCTATCACACACACCCCTCAGTTATATTGTTTCATATACTCACACTTACTGGAAATATCTTTGGTTCTAGACAGCAACAGCAAATAAACAGCAAATTTCATGTAAAAATATAGTGTGACATCTATTAAAAAAAGACCAACTTTTGCTGGTTTTAGTTAAGCATGAATACTGAGTAAATATGACATTAAACTAAAGTATTTTATGTGTCTACCAAATTAAGTCATATACCACAGCCTTACTTTCCTTAATACTGCAAGAAGGTTAATGACACACTTGCGTATGAAAATTAGACATTTGTCCAATATAACTTCAACATGCTTTCAGTCAAGGTCATTGTTAAACAACACTTATGTATTCTTACATGTATGTTGAATATAACTGATGTATCATATTATTTTCTTTAATTTCAAAAACTTGAGGTAATACAGATTTACACATTGAATACAAGGGATCAACGTTACTGTATATTTTTAGACTTGTGATAGTGTTAATCTTGACTAAACAGTGAAATTAGGCTACAGCTATTTTGGTGTATGTAAATTGCACTAGTTGCAAAACTTTCGCTCAAGAACATCCTAGATATGTACTAAACAGTTACGAAGTGCGAATGACAGAAACCTGACAGAATTGAAATACTGCACTTCAGTAATATTCAACATGAACGTTAATGAAAATTTGGACCTAAATATGAAGTAAAGTTCTTGCAGTTTCTGGCCTTTCTTCAGTTTATTTCAATTTAGATTATATGATTTCATCTTAAAACTAAATGAATTTTCTTCTGTCTTATATAGGACAGTGAAATTTTGCTCATGGAAGTGCACCTATTGCAACTATATTATATATTATGTTTGTAATATATATACATTTATATATATATTTATAACAGAAAATGATATCCAGTGACTATACACAGTTAAGTGGGATAAATCTTCACCTCTGACTCAATCAAGTACACTAGTTCATAACATCAAACAGTATTTGTTTTTCACGATAATGTTACTGAACAGGAATAAAAAAAAAAAAAAACCAGAAAAAAACACCACTGTGGGCTTATTATCATGCATCAATTCCTGTTTGATAAATATTGTAGGACCTTGTAAAAGGAGATTTCTTGATGAATATAGCTGCAGTCAGCCTAATCACCCAGAGTTACTTCCCTTCTTTTCACTCAACCAATACGGCATAGCAGTCGTCTTTGACGGTCAGTGGGAGCCAAGAAAGATATGCACTATAAATACTAATATGTACCTGTTTTTCATTTGTTTTGCCAAACTTGTGAGCTATACGTGAAATTGAAGTAAAAAAACTTTTGAATAACTTGTCTACTTAAGATCATCATGTGCAAAAATGCCATAGAAGGAGCCGAGCACATTCCTGAAAGAAGATCATGCACATGGAGGGATATTTCGGGACGATATCAAAAAATGAACAAATATGTCAAGCCTTATGCCCGAGTGGCCTGCGTTTTTTCTGAGAGACTAATCACTAATTCCTGTGTTGCGGAAGAGGGAAATAAGAAGACATGATGTTCAGTGTATGTTTTGACAACACAAGTATCACATCATTCAAAAAAGTGACTACATACATACATCTAATAAAAGACAGGAGTTGAATATGAGTATAGAGGCATAAAGGCTTGCATTCAGAATCTACAAAGTAAGACTTAATGAGTAAGTAAAATTACTTCTGTGGATATCCACGTCTCTACCAACTGAAAAAAAAAACCCACAGTAGCAGCCTAGTTCAAGCCTCATAAATCTGTAAATTTTACATTTGTAAGATCATCCGGAACAAAGCTGAATTTGCCAAAAAAACAAATGTTTGTGTCTTTTTTCACGTCGAAACCCACGATTCTTACATCAGAGCAGTACATATTTTACAGTATGCCATACACATAATTTTTATGTTCTCTAATACCACATATTATGAATTTTAACTTTAACTTAGTTGCAGTTTAATCTTTCATTGCAATTAAAAGAAAAGTTGATACTTCAGAATTATTGTGTTATTGTTTTAAAACACTGACTTCCTAACTTATGATGTTATGCTAAATAAATTTGTGAAAGACTTTCGGGTACCTTTGCTTTTACCACTGTGTCAGGCCTATCTATCATAAAACGTAAATAAATTCACGGTACTCGCTCTGTGGTATTGCATATAGAGGTAATATGTAAACAATAACGTTTAATGCATCAGGGTTATTTAGAGAGTTCCGAAAAGAAATAAATCGTCAGCTGGTACTTCCGGATAGAGGGCGGTTTGGATGTCGACTGAAGTACTATCTCTCTCTGAAATGTCTAACTGAAGATCCTCGCTGCCACCGAGAGTTTCTACAACTAGCACATCATGGACTTGATAAAGACGCCAAAGGTAAGGTTATACTGTTGTGTATGCACGAGAATTTCTTGTTAAGGAATTAAGTTTTGTCTGGTGGTCACTGTCTATGCGATTTTGTATAACATTGTAATCTTTGGTAAGCTTACAATACAGTACATGGGTACAAAAACAGACACAAACAGCTCTAAGATCTCGAGTGTCTGGTTACAACTGAGTTGTCTTTGCAGAAATATTGAGCAGTACTTCAGATGAAGTTTTCGAGGGCAACATCATTATTTAAATTAAACCAGACAAGAGAACTAAAAAAAATTGTATTCCACAGTTTTTTGCCCACAAGCACTGCCAACGAAAGTTAGCACCATTATGAGAGATAAACAGGTTAGACTGGAAACCTTGAGAAACAAGGAAAATTAATTATAAATACAGTGCAGGTGTTCCAATCAGAAAAAAATATTAGTTTAATCATGTTTATTAGTACAAATAATGATTACATACTGTAAGTCTTTACATTCATCCTTGATGTTCTGTGGGTGCAGAGAGTGCAAGTAATTGTAACCCCTGGAGTATCGACATTGCTTTATATTATGCATGTAGCTATAAGCTGCAGCACTGTGCCAAAGGTATTCTGTTTGTGATTTTTGCAAAATGGTGATGTCTTAGTTGTTAATTTGGTGCAGTTTAAATGGAATGGCTTGTAGGTGAAGCCAGGTTTCCTTTTGAGATTTCTGCTAATGGTTTCTCATGATGTAAGTGATGTCATCTGCCAAGTAAACTTGTCAGCATTCCCATTACGAAAAGCCTAATATTGAAATGGGCAGGAAAACTGTTGAAATTAACGAACTTGTGAAAGAAATTATTGTAAAATTGAAGACAGAAGGTCATAATACTTGGGAGTTGGTGAAATCACTCAAACATACCAGAAAGTTGTTACAGAGAGACAAAAATTGTCTGTTTTGGTGTGCTTAAATAAATGGCAGAATCATTTGAAAACACATAATGAATGTTTTTAAAGACAGAATCCAAAGGAAGTTGTTAATTCATAAAAAATGATATGAAATGGCAGGTAGTGAGAAAGAACATAGTGGTATTGGAAATAACACTCACAGAAAAAAAATATTTAGCAAAGAGCTTGGAGAAAACTAAATGTCTGGGACCAGTACTGTAAAACTCTATAACATTTCATGATGACATTCAGGAGGTTATTGATGACAATTAGTCTGTTTATATATGGAAAACAGATTTTGAATAAATTTTCCTGAATGAATGTATCCTCTTGGCAAAACTTTTTGAAACTTTTGGTTCAGCACTGTACAGAGTACCTTCATACAAACCAGCACTGGTGAGTCAATTCATGAGAGTTGTGTCCACATCATGGACTATAATTTCACAGCTAATTTGTGTTCAATAATGTGCAGTTGGCTGAGATGTGCAGTTGGCTGTCAGTCAAGAAATCTGGTGGTGGAACTAGAAGAATCCCTGCCTAGTGGCAGTAGCTTATAAAACTGCTGAATTCTTTATCAAACCTTCAAATACACTGAGATATACTGAAATAATCAAATAAATGGAATTGTTACCGCTTTTTAAATGTAAATCAAGCATTGCCATTTGTTTCCCAAATTGCTGAAAATGTCATAACAATCGGCTTGACAGTTATGCAAGCCGGTCAATTTTGAGTTAGAACTGTTGATCGGTCAACAGTTTAGGAGAGGTACATATGCATCCACATTCAAATGATTCTGATCAAGTGACTTTCTGATAAGGATTGTCAATGTCAGTCGATGACTGTTTTCCTTATTCTTGGTACAACATCTGACATGTGTCAAGACAGAGAAGTTGATTTATTTCTCAAAATGAATGACATGTTATGTCAGGTTACATATATAATTCAAACCTATTACTGCTTGGTGTTGTCGGCCAGTCTGTAGAACTGTATCCCTCTGTCTGCTGATAAGGCATGAAACAAGGTACAGTGCTGAATAGTGTAAAACATAACTTTATGAACATTACATACTAAAGTTTGTTCCCACAAAATGTTTCACCTATGAATTAATATTCTTATCATCTCCTTGATACAAAACTTCTATGAAATTTTGGTGTATATTATTTTGGGAGACATTTCTTCCTCATCCTTGTGAACTTGTGCATAAATTCACAAGGCCAACTGTTCACTATATTTTTTTTTAAATGCTCTTGATTATTTGCATTACAGGCACGTAGTTAAATGACAGGAAGTGTCAAAAGGTTTTGTTTTTTTTAAATTTATATTGATTACTGCTAATTATGCTCTTAACATCTGCCATCTTTGACAGTTTAGTAGTTCAGGGATTTTCAAACAGTAGAGTACCTAAGGTTTTATGAGCCTGATAAAAGGGTCTCCAAAGGATTATGTAATATTTTATGGGTGACGATAATGGAAGAGTGGCTGGTTTTAGAATTTTTTAGTATTATTCAAGGAGTATTCTTACTCAAATTACCTAATTTTGACTAATTGAAATTAAGAACACTCATATATGTGAGGCATAAAAATAATCATTATCCAAGATATTGACTATTGGTTTTCCTATCACACTGGATTAATGCCAGCCAACAATAACAAGGTGCTTGTGTAACAAGCGAGGTCTATACACATATACTTTTCTGATCTCATTTCTGAAACAAGATTTGTCATCCATATTTTGTATGAGAATGTTGAAAACAAAATATAAAAATTTCCATAGAATTAGGAGTGCTTCTTGAATTCATATATTAAAAAACAAAGATGATATTTGGTGCTGACTGCAAATTTCTTTAGAATAGAAACAAGTGAAACACAGATTTAACATTAGACATTCTTTCTTTCATGTAAATGGTGTGATATTGGTATCACTTCCTGAAAGTGAAAATTTAGTGAAATTTTCATTGGCTATTTTTTACTGTGTTAGATATTCTTTTATAAAACCTATTGATGCTGTATATGAACTTTGCATTTAAATATGATAATGCAGGATGTCACTAACTGTCTGGCTAGACAATGAGTGTCATGTTTACAAGCAATAACTGTGCTGTTGCCTACTAAAGCCAAGGTGAGATGGAACTTCACAAATTGGTAATTCCACTGTACTAGTTATCTTTGTGGTACTTTCCTGACAATGCCTAACTCATCAACACATGCCAGTGAATTACTTTACACAAGTTGCTAGCTCTATAGATTGAGTAGGAGACCTTGTTGTTATTGATGGAGTATGAACATATTTCTGTAGCCTTTAGGTGAGGTCTTCATTTGTGCACAGACTTCCATACAGATTAAAAGCAAGTTGTAATAATGAACATACAGTATTTTCTGGATTATAAGCCACAGCCTTTTCCCTTGGTGGTCAGGCATGTGTTGCTTATATGTGGAAGGAAAAAACAATTGGCAGAAGCGTACTAGTACTCCGGTATCAGATGGGATCTTGTTTTTTATGAGCAACTGTCCATCACATGTTTGTGATTGAAACAGATTGTCTAGAATGGTCATTTGAAGTCGTATACAGGATGATTTTAAGATTGAAATAAAAATAACATTCTTGTGGATTTAATTAATCATACCTTTTAACATGAATCACATATCTTCTGAACTTTTGTGGTTGCTTGGGAAGCCATAGTAGAAGTGTACAATAGACTGTTGCATCCTGGGATTGATAGGTCATCACGTCAAATTCTAGAACGATCACCATACTTGTTTACGATAAGAATGGCTTCATGCAGTCTTTAAGAAATGATATTAGATTATAAGAATTTTGTCAGCATGCAAAGGTCTTCGCTAATTTTTAAAAGTACAGACACTGATGGAGATATTGTTAAGTTAACCCTGCATAACACCAGGCCCTATATCTGTGCATAGGCAATCTTTGAAGGTTCACAAGCCAAACAAATTTGATAATTGCTAATTTACGTTTTTTTAAAAACACATTAATAGAATATAGGATTATCTGTGTATAATTCATTGCAAACTTATAACATTGTAAGAAAGGGTGTGGCTTATATTCCAGTGAGGCTAATATGTGGATCAAATTGAAAAATTATTAAAAATTGGCTCTGTGGCTTATGACCCAGAAAATACAATATCAGTTACTTTTATAGAACTCAAACCATGACACACGTAACTCTTCATTTGTAATTTGTATGTGAATATGAGTTTTGTATCATCATGGTTTCAGTACTTGATGTTACATTGTATACTTATCTCCATGCAACTTCATGAGAAATAAACTCACCATTGCGGACAGGTCTACCATGTGTACTTATCTCATTCACAGCTATAGAAACTTTTATTAATAAGAGATATATCTCATTAGTAAATGGTCTATTTTGAATGTGTTGCTTGATCTACAATGTAATTATCCCTTAGATAAATACATGGTAGTGTCAGCAGTTCATTTTGTTTTTAGAGAGTTATCTCCCTTCAGTTATAGTTAGATGTTCACCATGTTTTGAAAAAAAAAGTGACTCAGTTTTGTGATTGAAAACAGGAAGAAATCATCACTGAATTTATTCAGAAAATAGCAATTTGATGTGTATTGTAAGCTTTCACGTGACTGTTAGGCTGGAATATAGCACATGTTGGTTGATTCTGTTTTATCAGTGGGGAAACACTTTAAAAATCCTGATTAGAATAATACACAGGTCTATATATTGAAATAAAAAATGTCTGAACTAGGATAGTTACAACTGAATACATAATATTTCATTATCAATTATTATCAGTTTTAACGATGTGTTAACTGCAAAATCATATATATATATATATATATATTGTAAATGTTTTAACTGATTGTTTTTTTAGAAGTTGTTACTTATAAATATGATACTTGTATATTATACTGAGAGAATACCATTGATAAAAGCTTTTATAGGCTGTTGATCCATCTAAATTAACAACTGTGCATGAGAATTACTTTTATAATTATATCAGAATTTCTGAGATCTCTTGGGTCAGTTTTAAACTGCACCAATAAATCTTCTTTGTAATAGATTTATTGGTTTTATTTTCTGTATTGACTAAATTTTGATTA